ATATAGTTAACATAATCAAAGCAGGTAGACTGAATAAACACCAAATGTAAATGAAAACTCCATGCAAATAAAATGTTTAAACCAATGATATCTGTAAATACATTTTTTGTGTTTTCCCTAAACCTAAATCATCTTCTGTATATTTGGATTAATTTATAAATGGTCTACCATTAGCAGACATTGAACTAGGTGCAAGCATTTTATCACAGTAGGGAGATGCATGAGCAGGCATAAATTTCACCCCTTAGCAAGTAGAATATGCAATTTAATTTGATCAAGAATAATTAAATTTGTATAAATTCAGGAAATGTATTCCATAGAGGACAAAACTTCAGTCGGTAAAACACATGTAAACAGGCAATTTTACATTTGAGCAAGAGAAACACACTGCAGCTAGATTAACAGTACAGGAATTAGAGTATTTAGGCAGTTGGAGCTGCTTTCCAGACCTATGTGAAAGAAACTTCATGAACCCAATCCCTCAGCTCTTACTGAGGCAGAATTCCCTTTGTCTTTTGGTGGGAGGTTTGTTTTGTATGAGTAAGGAAGGCAGTGGAGAGGCCCAGTTTTCTTAAAATTCAGATAAAGACACACACTGTATACTTTATGGGCAGAACCCAAGCTTCCATTTCAAATAGATCCTCACATGGCTGTGCTCAGAAACTTTTGCAAAATGATAAACGGCCATGAAACAACAGCCTGATTATTTTATGGTGAAGGAGTTTAACAAGGGACTATGCGGAGAACCCAGTTCAGCCACAGCCTGTATTTCAGAAGCTCTTTGTTTTAAATAGGTTTTGCATTTTAGATAGATATGGGATTGATACCAACAGAAAACAAATTCTCCTATCATCAGCAACATATTTATAGTAATGACAATTTCCATCTACTCTCCTGTCAACATCCCTGACTGAGTTGGAGAGATGCCTCTCCTTGGAGGTAAATGGAGAGGAAACCTGATCCACCCTCTGTCCACTGAGCTGCCACCGGGAGTGAAATGTGATGGCAATTCCTGCCATGGGGGCATCGAGCACCCCAGCCAAATAACTCATCTCCCATCTCTAACAGCTGTCATTTGATGAAAAAAAAAAAAAAAAAAAAAAAAACAACAAAACAAACCCTTCACTGGCTGTATTTGCTTCCAAAAACACCCAGAGGTACTCTCCTTCCCCATTTCCCCTCGAGCCCCAAATCCTCTCCATGACTTAGCCATTCCTTAACTGAAGGTACCCAATTTAGAGCCAGAGGAGGGTGGGTGGTAGGTGGGGGGGGGGGGGGAGCCACCAGGATAGCATTTTACAATTACAATCCCTGGTTCAGGCCCTATTGTTTGGAGCAATTTTTAACTCTTTGTGAGTCTGTTTTGCCTGACACTTTGTGAAGTTCTGTGTGTATGGCAAGCTGGAAGGGCACAGTTCAATGGAAATAATTACAAAAGTGAGGCCCAGGGAACCTAACACATTGCAAATGTTTTCATGCTGGACAAGATGCTGAAGATATGTAAGGCTTTATTACTTTTTGTACTATTAAACTCGGGAGAACTCAAAAAAAATCAATCGGTAAAAGCAAAGCCCTACCTATTGATTCTCAAAGTTTGTCTCCTTATAAAGAAATGTAAAGATGTAAATAACTGTAACAATCAAAGGCAGCTCCTCTTTCTGGAATATCAAATTTGAAACAAATTGGATCATAACAAAATTATTACCAACTAAAAACCAAAGCCTCCTGATGTAACCCTGCCAGAGACTTGCACACACCCCACTGGACACCACATCCTTCCCTGCCCAGCTTGCCCCTCACTCCAGAGCAATGCTTGGTGCCAGTAAAAGCGGGGGAGAAGGGCGGGGGGGGGCAGCTGGGTCCCCCCAGGGATAGCAGGGGAGCCCCAGGAGGAGGTGATCGGGGGGGGGGGGGGGGGGGGGGGGGGGGGGGCAGGTTGTGGGGCTCAGCCAGCAGTGGAGAGGAAACGCAAAGCAGAGAACATCTGGGAACGAGCCACCCAGTCCCGTTTCTGGAAAAAGACCAGCTGTTGGAAGGAGCAAAACAAAACAAAATTTAAAAAGTGCAGCAGGCCAAAAATAGCTAAATAAACTGAAATTACGGCCAGCGTTAGCTGTCTAACCTGCTCGATTTTCTGCACGGTTGGATCAGCGGCAGCTGCTCGCTCTCGTGGTGCCTTTAGAGACCAAAAAGCCCTGCAGCTCCTGAAAAGTTTGGCGGCCAAAGAGGGCCGCGGGAAGGGGGGGCTGGGGGTGGGGGGTACCGGAGCCCCGTGCCGCAGCGGGGACCGCGGGCGGAGCTGCCGGCAGAGGAGGAGCCCCACGGCCCGGAGCACCGGGCGAGGCAGGGCATCACGGCACCGGCTCCCCGCTCTCCCACGGGTGACCCCAGCCTAGACGGAGGCGATCTGCCCCCGGAGCGACGGCGCCGGTGACCGAGCTGCCACCTCAGCCCGCCGAGCGCATCACCGGCCTCTCCAGGCAGTTCGTTCGCCGGGGTCGAGCGCTGCCCGGAGCGGGACGGCGGGGGCAGGGCAGGCGGCTCGGCTGGGCTCGGCGTCCCGGCTGCTCCGCCGGCACCCCGCCGGCATCCCGCCGGCACCCCGCCGGCGCGGAGCGGCGCGGAGCAACTGCGCGGCGCGGAGAGACCGACCGCGGGCCCGCCCGACCCAGCTCTCCCACCGTCCCGTGCCCCCCCCACACCCCCCCTCCACAGACCGCCTGTGTTTGTGCCCCCCCCAACCCCCGCCCAGTCCAGCTCACACCCCCCCCCCCCACCCCGGGCAGGGCGGTGGGGTGCAGTGCCATTTTTGCCACCAAAACCCGCCCGTCCCGTGCAGAGGGGGTTAGGTGCGGCAAAGTCTCTGGGAAGGGGGAAAGGTGTGCTGGGGACCCTGGCAGGCCGTCTTGGCTTCAGCGGCCGCTTCCTTACCAGCCTCCCCCCCCCCCCCCCCGCAAGGAAAGGACAGGGGCTTTTGGTGGAAGAGGGGGTGTGTGTGTGTTATACGCCTCTTCCCCCCACCACCACCCCCGGTAAGCAAACTGAAAGGTCTAGAAACCACCACCCCCTCAAGCCCTTCCTCCGGAGCATCGCCTCTCGCCCAGAGCACCGGGGAGCTGGAGCTCTGTCTGTGTGTCTGTCTGTGTGTGTGTCCCCTCGGGGGGCGGTCGTCGGCGGCAGCGAGCAGGGCCACGCCGCGGCTCTTGTGCCCCCCCGGCGGTCACGGCCCCTGCGTGCGTGGGGACACGGGGCGTCCCCAGGGGCGGCGAGAGGATGGGCCGGCTGCCCTGCCCCCTTTGCCTGCCCCATCCCGCCCCGAGGCGGGGGGGGGGGGGGGGGGGGGGGGAGCTCACGGCTGGGAAGTTGCCCCCGGCCGCGGCAGGAGGCTCGCTGCAGCGCCAAGGGGCGAGTGAAGCAAAGGGCACTTTGCGGGAGGCTGAGCGCAGCCTCCGGCGGGGCATTTCGGCCTCTTTGGTATGCTGAGAAGTGGCTGCTCTTTGCTGCAGCGGCGGGGAGGAAAGGGGCGAGACGAGTTGGCAAACGGGAGCGAAGAGGGAGCGGGGCGGGGGGGGGGGGGAAGAAAGAAACAAAAAATCCGCCGAGGTGCCCACCTCGACACTCTGCACCGGCCCTGAGCTGGGCAAAGCAGGAGCCGGCACCGGGTCTGCCGGGGCGGAGAGGGGTGCGGGCTGGCAGGGCTGCTGCTTGTTGATGTTGGGGTGTCAGAGAGGCAACGAGAGCCTATGATCTACTACACTGCAGTGCCAGCGTCAGGAGCCTCCTTGCTCGGGAGCTGCCACTGCAGGGCAGCCGGCACCAGCGCACACCCGGCAGCCCGGGCTCCAGCCGCTCTCGGCTCCCCCGGGCACGACAGGGTTTGCAGACAGACTGCCGGCCCCGGCGGCGATAGCGGGGGGGGGGACACACACACACACGACCCGGGGACCGGTGCGAGGGCGGCGGGGAGGGCCGGTATTCCCCCTGCAAGGCTCCCTGCTCCCTTCTCGCCTACCTCGCTCGCCAAGCCCGCGGGTTTGGCCGCCCCGAGCAAAGGGGACTCAACAGCGGCAGCGTGACCCCCCCACCCCACGCCCCCCCCCCGGGACCGGGCGGCCCAGAGCAACTGCATTTGCATTTCTTATGTAATGTACTGCAAGTTTCCCCCTCGGAGCCGGGCTGAACCGAAGCGCATGATCCTGGCTGCCAGGCAGACATGGAGACGCACGCACAGAGAGGGGTCATCCCGGCGGGGGGGGGGGGGACACACACACGCAGCCACCCCTGGCGGTGCCGCTGCCGCTCGGCAGACTGGGCGAGTCTGGGCACAAGCCCCAAGAAAGTGTCCACCCCCTCTCCTCAACACCCCCCCCTCCCCTCCGCCTTCCCGGCCTAGAGTGCCGGGGGGTGAGTGATAAGGGGAGCCCCCAGGCCGGGGGCGGGGGGGTGTCGGACTTGACTTCAGTGGCGGGTGGGGGTGTGTGGGAGGAGGGGGGTGGGGGTGTGACATATTGCAAGATAATTAGAAAGTGCTGTGCAGGACCTGAGCCCCGCACACTCACCCACCGCAGGCAGGGCCGGCTCACACCAGCGCAGGAGACCCGGGCTCCCCTTCCCAAAAATGGGGGTGTGCACGGGGGGCTGACATCGGGGACGGGAGCGGGTGGAGGCGGGGGGAAGGGGGGGGGGGGTGTTTTACCGGCTTCCCCTCAAAAAGGGTAGCGATATAAAAGTTTCCTCCTTGGAAATCGCACATAGAAACTAGGAGATGCAGACTGGGCTAGGGTCGCCTTTGGGATTTTTTTTTTTTCTTTTCCGTGGTGACAGTGGCTGAAGCTAATCCAAACCGCTTCTAGGTTATTCATACACATATGCACATGCATGTCCGTGCTGGCCTCGTTATATTTCCCCCTTCTCCCCTCAGCAGGATTGCAGATCTACCTCGGCGAGCAACAGACAGGGTAGCATAAAAGAAAAACAACGCAGTGCAATGGATTGCTTACCAGTTTGGTTCTTGTTTTTCTTAAGACTCTTGCCACAAAGACACTGCAGCATATGCGATCCTTTGCTGAAAATGTTCCAAAGAAACCACATTGATTTGGGCGAAAAGCAATCCAGCAGCTTATACACCCTGAGAAAGAAGAGATCCTTGTGGTTGCATAATAATAAATTGAGACCAGTTCTCCTGAAGAGGGGCACCAGTTTTATCATAGAAAAAATGATTATATCCCGATCTTCTCCCAGTTTTTTTTCCTCACGTGGTATATTTCTTTGAGACTTTTCAACGGATGCTTTTTTTTCAGCCAGGCTGAACGGTTATTCCCCCTAGATCAACACTGGATTATAACCAAAAGCGTGGAGAGAAAAAAATAAAAGAAATCCCCCTTTTTTTTTTTTTTTCAGCGTGAAGCCAATCGAAAAGTAAGGTAGTGAAATCCCAGCCGAGGCCAAAACCTCATCAGAGACGCCGGCAAAACGCGGAAGGAAGATCCCCAGAGAGAAAACCATAGCCTGGTACTTGACTGCTAGGAGGCTGGGTGGATCTGCAGAACAAAAGCCACGGCAGGATCCATCCTACGGAACGACTGCCATTGTGCAGCCCCGCGGCGGGAGAGCGCACCACCAGCACCCGCCGACAGCCCGGCTGAGGCGCAGACACCGCTGCCGGCCGCGGGCGCGGACCCCGCCCGCAGCCCCCGCCGATGCCCCCGCCGCCCCCGCCGCCGCCGCCGCCGCCGCCGCCTCCCGCCCTTCTCGGGCCGCTCCGCCGCCGCCGCCGCCGCCGCGCCCCGCTCCGCTCCGCTCCGCCGCGCAGGAGGCAGCACCCCCCGCCCCGCGCCGCAGCCTCGGCGCCCAGTCGCCGGCGGGCGACGATAAAGGGGAGGGGGGGGAAGAAGAAGGAGAAAAGCGGGCGGGGGGGGGGGGGGGGGAGGAGGAGCCGCCGAGCCCCGGTCGCCGTCACGTACCCACGTGCGGCCCGGCCCGGCGGGGAGGGCACAGGCGGGACGCCCCAAAACTGCCCCGCAGGCTGCTGACAGAGAAACACACCCCCCCCCGGCCTCCATCCGAAGCGTGCTGACCGCTGAAACCTGTGTGTCGTCCCCCCCCCCCCCGTCCCCCCAAGGCTGGCTCTGCTCCCCGCGCCGTCCTGCCGCGGTCACAAAAGAACGGGAACGGCCAAGGCAGCCGCGGGCCGCATCCATCCACCTGGAAACGGTGTTCCTGGGTGCTGTCCCTGCCGGCATCGTGCCTAAAAAGCGTTGTGGTGAGGTCCGGGGGTTGCCCCAGCAGAGGCAAGCGCTGTTGCATGTCCGGCTGACGGGGGTGCTCGGTGGGGTCCTGGGCCGGGAACGGGGTTCCCAAGTCCCGCCTGGGGTTGGGGCTGGTTTGGCGACGTGGGCGGGGGGACTGAGGGCTGAGTGCCCCCTCAGCAAGTTGCCAACGGCACCCAGGTGGGTGGTGCGGTCAGCACGCTGGAGGGAAGGGATGCCGTCCAGAGGGACCTGGACAGGCTTGAGAGGTGGGCCCGTGCAAAACTCATGAAGTTCAATAAGGCCAAGGGAAAGGTCCTGCCCGTGGGTCGGGGCAATCCCAAGCTCAAATACAGGCTGGGCGGTGAGTGGATTGAGAGCAGCCCTGTGGGGAAGGACTTGGGGTAACTGGATGAAAAAACAGTATGAGCCAGCAATGTGCGCTCGCAGCCCAGAAAGCCAACTGTCTCCTAGGCTGCATCAAGAGAAGTGTGGCCAGCAGGTTGAGGGAGGGGATCCTCCTCCTCCACTCTGCTCCCATGAGACCCCACCTGCAGTGCTGTGTCCAGCTCTGGGGTCCCCAACATCAGAAGGACACGGATCTTCTCAAGTGGGTCACGAAGAGGGCCACAAAAATCATCAGGGGGCCAGAGCGCCTTCCCTTATGAGGCCAGGCTGAAAGAGTTGGGGTTGTTCAGCCTGGGGAAGAGAAGGCTCCGGGGAGACCTTATAGCGGCCTGCCAGTGCTTAAAGGGGGCCTGCAGAAAAGATGGGGAGGGACTCTTTATCAGACAGTGTAGGGATAGGACAAGGGATAACAGCTTTAAACTGAAAGAGGGTAGATTTAGGTTAGATGTAAGGAAGAAATTCTTCCCTGTGCGGGGGGTGAGGCACTGGCCCAGGGTGCCCAGAGCAGCTGTGGCTGCCCCCTCCCTGGAAGGGTTCAGGGCCAGGTTGGACGGGGCTGGGAGCACCCTGGGCTGGGGGAAGGTGTTCCTGCCTGTGGCGGGGGGTTGGAACTAGACAGTCTTTAAGGTCCCTTCCAACCCAAATCATTCCATGGTTCTATGAAACTAGCAAGGCTCTAATAACCCTACAAGGCACCTGCTGCACCACTGAGGTGACAGGCCCACAGGCAGACGGAGCAGTGCCCCTCACTGCTGCCCACAGCCCCCCCGAGGGAGCAGTGCCTCTCCACCAGTCCTGCCTGGGCTCTGCGGGAGGGCTGCGCCGGCCAAGCCCACAGCGGCTGCCCCCCTGCACAGCGGTGGTGGCACTGGAAGAGCTGGAAGCTGATGCCCATGTTCTGGTCCTCCCCTGTAGATGCTCTGCTGGACTCTGTGGAAGGTGTTGGAAGTGATGGAACAAAGAGCATGAATAAATGAGGGAAAAGATTATAAGGTAGTAGTAGAAAGGAGCTGCTCAGAAGGTGGGGAAGGAGAAAACAGAGGTGAAAGAAATGGAACAGTGAACAGCTTCCCCTCCCCTTCCCTCTCCTCCCCTTCCCTCCCTAACCCCTCCCCTCTCCTCTCTTTTCTGCCTCTCATTGCCAGAGTCATCTACATCCACCTTCACGATCATCGTTACCTCTTTGGCCAAAGGTTTGCTCTTTGACCACTAACTTTTTCCACTAACAGCATACAAAATAGAAGTACCAGGACACTGTTTTCACCTGTGACATTTCTATTCATATTTGCATTCATTCCGACACGGTCAGATGTTGGTGTGTTCTCCTGAAGCCATGGAAGCTGCTGTTGCATCAGGAAGTATCTGACTGAAGTACGAAAAATGCAGAGGTTTGTGCATGTGCTTTTCCTGCTGTGCCAGGATCTCTGTCTGGTTACCAACAGTAAACATTTGGTCAACACACCAACAAAAGAGCCGGGAAATGAAAATTTTCCAGTACTTTTAATTTCAGCGAGATTCTAGATTTATGCATATAGATTAATTACTTGGTTGCCAGATCCTCATCTACATGATATTTAAACATCATTACCCTCTTTTACAGAGATGAAGAATAACACACAGGAATTAAGGGCTGTATTGTGAGAAGTGGCTCATGAAGTTTGCAGATCATTATGGGAGGATGAGGTAGGTGCCTGCCTTTCAGCGCCCAAGTTTGCAAAAATAAAAATAAGCAAAAAAAAAAAAAAAGATAAAATTTCAGAAAAGTTAGAAAGAGTCGCAGGCAAAGGTTACAGAAGAAGCTAATTCTTGGTCCCTTGTCCCATCCCCTTGGCTCTGCCGCCTGTTGAGCTAACGAGCTATCCTTCCTGGTGTGCAGACATTACACGGGCTGCTGGGACGATGAGCTGGCTCACACACCTTGCAGCCAGCTGGCTGGGAGTTCACAGCAACCCTAGTGGTATTCATCACAGCTCATATGTCATGGCTCCCTACAAACATAAAATTGATCTAGAGTCTTCCCAAAATATCTGAGGTCTGTGTCTATCTTCCCTTGACCACGAGAGCCAATATTATATAGCTGGGAACAGTCTGTGATCTGTAGGAAACAAAAAGTCATTTACAAGCTTTCCACCCAAGTAATTGGTTTATATACCTCCCTCAGGCTAGCATGTAACTCCCTACTTTCTAAATGAAAGTAAAACTTCTCTTTAGCATCTCACCATCATTCAGCTGTCAGGAATTGTGGCTGCTGAACCAAAGGAGGCTGGTTCTGATGGTGATACATGATTTAAGGTTTACCGAAATTAGAACGGAAGCAGAAACTCCGTATCTCAACTAGAAAACCAACATTCACCTTGCCTATCTGATAACTTACTGCCATTTAAGAGGTCCCCAAAACTTGGCAGGCCTGCAGAGAAATACCTGAGCAAGAGCAATAATTTGTTCAGAATTCCTCTTTATGCAAAGTCAAAGTCATGGAAAGATTAACCTTTCAAAAGAAGAGTTGACCTAATGTGGAAAAAAAACAGGAGTCTTTTCTTCTCATGCGAAATATATATAACAACCTTAAAAAGTCTAAAACATATACTTAGACCTATTAGCCTAAGTATAAATTATCCTTTTCAACACCTTAATTAATTTATAAATGACCTATCATTAACTGACACTGAACTGGGTGTAAGCATTTTATCATAGGAGGAGGATTCATGAACAAAAATGAATTTCATACCTTGCTGTGTACAATGTGCCAGCAATCAAATCAAAAAATGACCTGGGCAGAGAGAAGGAAACATTCCCTCAAGGGTTCTTAACTGTCTTAGGACCATAGAATTAGACAACTTTACTTGAAGAGGGATATACGCATAAAAGGTGGGCAGACCTGTGGAAGAAAACGACATCTACGTAACCCTTATAAGTCAAGAGAAGTGAAAAAGCAACAAGTGATACTTGTTTCAGCTCTGCCTCCATGGATTTTGGGTTCCCATTTTGGGGGAAAGGGAGAAAGCAGCAGTGGAGTATCTGGTCACTTGGGCTGTACCAAGAAGACCACTGATTGATAGAGACTTTTGCAGGTTTGGGAGAGAGGAAGAACATAACAGAATGAAAGACCCCTTGCTTTTATAGCATGCCACCAAGAGTCCCTCTCTTCTGGATCAGAGAAAAGAAAGTTTTACCTAGGGACTCCACGTGGGAGGCAAGGGTGGTGGTGATGGAGGAGCCAAATTTCAGGTAACCTGTCCTCATGAGGTGGTGGCATCAGTGGACTCATTTTTATATGAGGAAAATTAAGCAAAGCCTTGTTCTGGAAGTCCTTTGAGAGCAGAGATGATTTTCCCAAGATGTCAAAGCACACCTACCATATAAGCAGCTTGCATATTAGTCAGCAAGACTGTGGACTGAATAACTCCTTCAACCCAAAGTTTCGGTATACGTTGATTGAAAGAGTAAATTAGGCAAGGTTAGATGTTTACACATCAACCATAAACTCCTTTGTCTTCTAAAATACAGAGTCTGCATAATTCCCATATAGTTTAGAAAATGCAAAGATGACAACTACCATTTGGTGAGATTGAGCCTGCAGAACAAGACATCTAGATGTCTATCTGTGAACTAGATGGTTATACTCCATTATAGTCCATGAAGATCTGGAACTTGATTTGGCTACTGAAACTTAGACATCTAGAGCCATCTGAGACTTCCTAGGATATCTTGCAACATGAGGCATGGCAGATATGATTCTGGATATATGAGAGACCCAGGACCTTGTGGAGCTGCAGGTGGAGGTCACACAGTATGTCCTAGAGCATCTCAAAAGGTCAGTGATGTCCATCTATGTATAGGCAACTGTATGGAGCTCCTAAATCCATACTGATTACACTAGAGATTAGATACTCAGCTCTTGAATTTACACATATACAGATCATTCAGTTTAGGTGTTTCACTCGCAAGTTTTATCCCAAACTAAATGTTTATAACTGTAGACTCTTGCCATCCTTGAAGACAGCTAGTTCTGAAACCCTCTT